CCTCTAGATAGTCTTAGGAGTAGGTAGTGGAAGGTAAAGAAACAGAAGTTGAGAGAAGAGTACAGAAAAAAAAAAACAAAAAAAAAACAGAAGAAAACAAAAGGCGGTGGCAGCGGGAAACGACAAAATTCGAAGGGGAACGAAAACCAACAAAAGAACATAGGATGAATTGGCGCGGCATTTATTTCACGATCTTAAATATTTTGTTAATTTTTTCAAATATTTTTCATAGAAAGATCACAACCTAATCTACAGACCTATCAATTTTCAGAGTTGTGGAGTCATCCTTCTGAGCGCGAAAAATCGCGGAAGCTGGGGTACTTTTCCCGTTGGCCGTCACATGATACAGCAGCAAAAGACCCCAAAAAATGAATATGGGACGAATAGGCGCGGCGTTTATTTCACGATCTTAAGTATTGTTTTAATTTTTTTACATATTTTTCGTAGAAAGATCACAAACCACTCTACAGGCCTGTCAATTTTTAGAGTTGTGGAAATATCCTTCTGAGCGCAAAAAATTGCGGAAGTTGGGGTACTTTTCCCGTTGGCCAACACGTGCAAGAATGACAAAAATGGACAGTGCAACTAAACGGCGCGACATTTATTTCACGGTCTAATTTTTTTATTTTATTTTTTTTTATATTTGTCCTACAAAGATCATAACCTAATCTACGGGATTTCAAATTTTCAGAGTTTTCCCTCGATTCGTCTGAGCACGAAAAATCGCTAAATTCGGTGATTGAAAATTGCGGGACTGGACCCGCCTGCCACACTGTGCAACAATAGGGTTTGGACACACAGGCACATTCTGACCTGTCACAGCTGCCTGACGTCGGATACACTTCAAAAAGAAGCAGTCCCCAAAACCACACAGGGACTTAATCCATCTGTGTGGTTAGGGCAGTTGCGTATTTCAAATCTGTGCATGGGTTCGAACCCCAACAACGACTATTGATAGCGAACTTCAAAATATTAATGTGTGTGTGTGGGTGGGTGTGTGTGTGTGTGTGTGCCTACATGTGGGTGGGTGTGTGGGGTAGGATGTGGGTGTGGTGTGGGGTGCAGGTGTGAGGGGTGGGTGTGGGTCACTGCCTGCCACACACCCGCCGCCCCACTTCCTTTTGTCAGCGCCAACGCCGGCCAGGAGACAAAAAGATAAAGAAAAACGGAAAGCAAGAAACAACACGCCAAAAACAAAAACAAAAGAAAAGAAAAGAGATGAAGAAAAACGAAAGGTAGGAAACAACACCCCAAAAGAAAACAAAATAAAAAATGAAAAAAAGTAGAAAAAAAAAGGGGCCGGGGCACAAAACGACACTTTCTTGCTATCCGACGGCCGGCGCGTTCTGATATTAATGCGCATCGACGCCCCCCTTGTACCCGGGCCCCGTGAGCGCGCTCTCTCGTTTAGTGGCGCGCTGTGAACAATTCGGTACGCGTGCCACTCTGCACAACGCCCCTCCCTCGATCGCCTTCATCCGCCGGCCCGAATCAAAAGTTCGGGCTGATTCCGGTGCGTAGCGGAACACGACCTCCTCCCCGCGGGGCCACCGCGCTTAAGGGGTATGATTTTTAATTAAAAACGAAAAACAAAAAATTCAACCAGCCAAAATAAGCATTTTTATTTGTTATTTTATAGGGTTTTTTTTTTTTGTTTTTTTTTTTTCAATATCATCACGCTGTGGGGCTTGAGGCGACCTTTGCTGGGTGAGACCTTTTTTTTTTTTTTTAAAAAAAAAAAAAAAAAAAAAAAAAAACACCACTCTTTCATGGTCTGCCCGTTCACAAAAAAAACACCAAATGAAGGGTCGTTCACCTTCAAGTGACCGGTGCCGTTCACGTTCAGGGTGACGGCACTGCGCCAAACGACTGTGATGTCAGTTATATCAATGGAAGCCAGTGTTCTCCAGGATCTCGGAAGCGCAGTGCCATGGACCACTTGGTGTTGTTCAATTCATCAGACGATGAGGCGTTCTCCTCACACGGGAATGACAACTGCCAGGAGGTCAAGGCTGTCAAGCAACGTGGTACAGCTCCGACGAACTGCGTGGACACTGGTGAACTGCGGCTGTTGCGCTGAGGGGACTGTTATCCTTCTATGACAGCGTTGAAGGACGCAGTGCTGTTTGGTGCTGCAGTGGCACAATTCCAGTTCAGCACACTACGCTCGTCCCCTATCTTGTACCATGTCATGTGCGAGACACCTGATTGCAGTTGGGCGTTGAAGGCCAGGGCTCCTAATGGGGGAGGGGGAGCCACAATCGTGGAAGCAAGCAGACATCGCATTGGCTTTGGCTGCAAAGGGCCTGTGACACGCAAAGGTGGCAACAAACATGCCAGCGAGAGGTGGGAGTACCTCATGGTGGAGGAAAAGTTGCAGGAAAGGGGGACCGTGACTGCAAAGGGTTTGCAGGATTGGTTTGATGTCAAGGCAAAAACCATCGTCTCTTATGACAAGTGCCGGCGTGCCGTCAAAAAGGGGCTCATTGAACAAAACGGAGTGGCCGAGGAAGGGTATGCACAACTGCGCACATAGTGTAGGGTCGTACGTGAAACGAATCCGAACTCCATTATGGGTCAGCAAAGCAAAGGGAAAGTATTCTACTAAGTGTTCTTCGCTTTGGGAGCGTCGCTATGTCGGTGACCGGTGACAAGCTTCATGCATTGCAGGCCGCTGATGCCTTCCGGTGCAAAACCTTGGTCATTTTCTACCCCAAAATGGAGGCACGGCGGCGGACGTCCCCAGGGCCTGAGGGTCTCAGACTGGCGGGCCTGAGGCTGGGCCTGAATTCTTTTTGGTACGTCCCACGCCGTGGCTCCATTTTGGGTGGGGGGCTGTTGCCAGACAGCCAGTGTCCTTGAACGGCATTTTGAGAGGAGACATTTCGTGCAATGCAAGATGCAGCCTGACGGCATCGTGGGCACGTGGCGCCACAGCATCATGTGCGCATGGTGCGAGAGCATTGTGTGGCATGACAGGGCGTTCATGTGGTGCAACAACAAGACCGTGTCCACATGGCAGCATGCACTTAGTGAAGCTGCTGCGACAACAGGGTCGTGTACAGGTGGCGCGAGAGCGTCGTGTGAAGGCGGGCTGATAAGATCGTGTCCACGTGGCAGCATGGAATTAGTGCAGCTGCTGCGGTTGCAAGCACAAGCTTTAGCACAGCCAACAGATTGCCACGTGTCAGCCGGAGAAAAGGGAAGCATGCCACAAAGCTACCTCTGAAACTGGAGAAACTGCGTCCCACGGACCTGTGTGAAACTGGGACTGCCCTCCCCGATGGTGCTTAGGCCCGTCGCCATGGAAAAGAACCTTTGTTATCAAGCTGGCATATTGTCTCTGAGTTATTGAACTCCTGGGTTAAGGAGGGCTAGGAGTCAAGCTAGGCTTAGGAAGCCAAATTAGCAGATATAGCATAGTTTACTACATTAGCATGAACACCATTAGCACTATCGTCATGATTGTTTTCATCATCAAATGTGGGATGCTGAGCCAGTGAGCCCGGTTCTCAGCAGTTCTCAGCAGCTGTTTTTCTGGTTACTCCGGGTAGACTGTGAGGACCCCAGGCTCAATATTCTCATTTGTAATATCAGCCTTGGGCACTGGGCCCTTTCCTTTAAAAAAAAAAAAAAAAAAAAAAAAAAAAAAAAAAAAAAAAAAAAAAAAAAAAAAAAAAAAAAAAAAAAAAAAAAAAAAAAAAAAAAAAAAAAAAAAAAAACAAGGCATGGCCTCAGGCCCGATATGAGGCCCGACCATCCTCAGACCAGGGTGCACGAATGACAGGAAGTTCTTGGGGGGGCAACTCCCGCGGGCACATCCATTTTCAGGAGGGAATATGACAAAGGGTTTTGCTGCGGGGGATTTCAACAATTTCCCCCCGTTATTTTTGTCTCTTTTTCTGCTTGTGGATCATCATCCTTTGTGGATCATTCCGTTTCTGCTCAAAGCATACTCTAAACAGACTGTTTTTGGGACTCGTGTGTCTGTGTCATGTGCTGGGTGGCAGATTGGCGGTGGGTGCAGGGAGCCCAAGATTAATCACAGCCAGTGACACGACTTTGCCAGCAGCTCCTCATCTTCTGAGGACCAATTATCAACCTTTTTCTTTTTTTTTTCTTTTTTTTTTTTGAAACAATCATCCCGAGCTGTTTTTCAGAAAAAGGGGAGAAGTTTGTGTGGATCGCCGGCACCTGATAAGGCAAAAGTAGCAGTCTCCCTAGAAAGTGCATGTGCATGCCGAACTCGTACTTGATCACTGGTCCACTGATCAGCTATGGCAGCCCTGCAGATCACCATTGTCTGCACTGGTCCACCTCCGCTCCTGTTCCAGCCCCAGGTATTCACTGAACTCGAAGTTGGATCCCTTGTGCGGAGGCAAATCCACAGTCTGCTCCGCCGTGAGTCTGCCGGCCCCGTGGTGGACCTTAGGCGAAGCCAGTTGAGGTGGAAAGCATCCTGCCCGCCAAGCACACCATGCATAATGCGAAGAAGCGGACGTACTAGGGCTATCCCGGGGGATGCGAGCAGGGGTGGTGGGGCGTTCTCCAAGATCGGGCCTGGGTGGAGGTCGAAGAGGACCGCAGAGGCTAGCAAGCGGGTTATAACCAGCGAGCCAGACCCGGGCATATTCGGCCCCAACACAGTGACGTGGCACCTGCATGGCGATCCAGCATGGTGGATCGCTGGGATCTGCAGTCTGTACCTCCAGGCACGGCATCCACGTGCTGTCGCAGCCATTGTGCAAAACTCTATGTTCCAGAAGGACCCCCTGGGTCGCATACTGAGGACCGCCAAGTACCTGAGCTTGACCACATACGGCTCAACGGAGGAGGCAGAAAACGCTGCCTGCCCAGTGCGTGCGGTGCATCACAAGCTCAGTGCGGTGGACCCGCAGACCGGTGACGTGATACGCCTCGACGATCCTGATCTACTGCTATGGGTGCACTGCGCAGCGGTTGCATCGATGGCCACCGTCAGTCAGCACGCGGGCTTTACGCTGTCCGACGAGCAGATGGACCGATACTACGACGAGCAGCGCCGGTCTGCTGCTCTGGTGGGCCTGGACCCAGAGAAGACACCAGGCTCGCAGAGTGCCATGGCAGATTACTTCACCCAGGTTCGTCCTCAACTGCAGAGGACACCTGAGTCAGATCTTCTGTACGACTTCCTTCACGACCCGCCGACCAACTGGTGGTCGTTGCACGTCAACCTCGCTTATCGGCCCATCAGCCACCTCGCGTACTCTTTGCTACAGGATTGGGCCCAGAAGCTCCACGGGCATAGGGCATGTCCCACCGGGCTGGTGGACGCAGGGTTGCACGTGTTCCGGGCAGCTGGACTTGTGGTGCCAAGGGAGATCCGGGCGTGCTATCCCTTTGACCATGTCGAGCGTGCTGTGGAACGCCTTGGTGAGCCCGTCTTCCCGGCAATGTCAGTGCCAGTGCCACGTTAACGACCCAGCCATTGAACGTTCTCCAACTTGAAGTAATGGGGGTCCTGCAGTCACCAGGCCCGTTTGAGGCCAATGATAAGGGGGTCAACTATGGGCCCTATGGTAGTCTATGCTTCTTCTCCTTTCCTCTGTTCATTTTCTGAACTACCTTCTTCCCCCGAACATAACGCATATGCGCTGTATTCAAAATTTAGAGCTATTCAAATAGAACAGATATGTGTTCTATTCGAATAGAACGCACCCTATGCGTGGTATTCTTGTATTCATTTACAGCATATGTGTTATGTTCGAGGGAAGAAGGTGGGTAATTCATTGTTTATCCCACCAGTACATGGGCACCTGGGCCGTGGGCCAGACACCTTGAAATCTGGAAGCGCGAAACGAGACCGAGACCGACCACGGATCCAAATTATCGACGGCAGGCCCAGCGTTTGACGTTCCGGCCTCGTTTTCTTGTGGCGACAAGTTTCGGACTGCACGGCTGGGGCTGTGTTCTAGTGGTTTTACTTTCGGTGCTGCTGAACTACGCCTGGGCTATAGAAGTAGAGGAGAACCTCAAGGTTGGACAGGAGGGTAGATAGAAGAGCAGAGTGATGAAAAAAAGAAGGGCGGAGGGGTCGGACAAGAGAGATTGCCTTTGGGTAACGTTGGTCCTCGTCTCCACTTCCTTGATTGGAACAACATCTGGAAGGCCCCTGTTGTAGTACCAGTGGAGTGACAAACTGTGCAACTCACAATGAAATACAAGTTTGAGACAATGCAATATTTCCCAGCCGAAGAAGAAGTGGAATCAGACTGGGAAAAAAATGGGAAAAGAAAAAAGGAAACTCGTACTTTCCAAAAAAAGAAAAGAAAGACAAAGAAATAAACAATAGAATTACTTCGTTTCTTTCTCAATGCCCACGAGAGAGAGATGGAAAGAGAGACAGAGAGAAAGAGAGACACAGACACAGACACACACAGAGAGAGAGAGAGAGAGAGAGAGAGAGAGAGAGAGAGAGAGAGAGAGAGAGAGAGAGAGAGAGAGAGAGAGAGA